TTGAAACTCATACGGGGAAATATTCCCTACTATCGCAATATTGGTCTATAGTTTAGGCGTAAACTATGTCATTTGAAAATTGGAAAAAATTGACGGACATTTATCGAAAATTAAAAAAAAGGTTATCAAATGAAATTGAAAAAAATTTCGGTATTTTAATCAAGTCTTATTTTAATTATTTTCTTCTGGATTTCAACAACTATTTGATGAAATTTAACTAGTTAACTAAAAAATTTAATAGAAAACATTTGCGAATTTGCTAGAAAATTAAAAATTAAAAATTGAAAATTAAAATTCTATTTGTTTTTTGTGCAGATTCTATTAGATAGGAAAAATCGATTTTTCTATTTGAATTTCTCTCATGAGAATGTCCTTCGAATTCGCTAAATTTTTCTATTGAATTTTTTCATACATGTAATTTTTTAAATCCACCAAATAATTTTCTCCACGAACTCATCAACGAATTTCACCAACTAATTGACGAATTTCCACACCTAATTCATGAAATCCCCCAAATAACGTTCCCCTCTTCCACCCAAAATCATCGAAACAAATGTTACTGCAACCTCCATCACAACCCGAGCGCGCGGCCCGATATCTCTAACCTCACCTGCAGCCTTGTACCTATTTAAGATATCTAGAATTTCAAAACTTCTGAGAGAGTAAAGTTTGAAGGTCCCCATTGCTTACATCGTCTTTTCCCCCAAGCGAACAGCGTGAAAATAACCACCCGTCGAGTGCCAAGAGCCAAATAAAGATCCCCTCCCCCTGCCCCTCCAGAAGGGCCAAAACAAGGCTTCCACCGGAAACAAAAAAACAACCAAACAATTTTGGAATTACTCCAGGTGAGTTTAGAGAGACAAACTAATTAATTCGTTGAAGATCCATGATGATAGTTAACCCGGAGCAAGATCCCACTACGTGTGTACACAAGTTTAAGCTGAGCCATTGCCGTCGCTTCAGGTTTACCTGACCTCGACGCGACCAAGTCTCGTGAATTATTTCCGTGCAAACATTACGTTGGGGAGTTCGACCTCGTGACCCCTTCCATCTTCCCACCCTCTGACCCTCTCGCCCCCCCCCC